TTTAATGTAGAAGCTGCAAGGTCCTGTGTAATCCTGACTGTGGTTCCATGATATTTAAATTTTTCTTTCTGGCTGCTTGCAGCATTTTCTCTTTCATCTGGTAATTTTGGAATTTGCTATTATATTCCTTGGTGTTTTCAATTTGGGATCTCTTTCAGGAGGTGATGGTGGATTCTTTCTATGGTTATTTTACCCTTCTGGTTCTAGGACTTCAGGGCAGTTTTCCTTTATGATTTCCTGAAAGATACTGTCCAGGCTCTTTTTTCATCATGATTTTCAGGTAGTCCAATAATTTTTAAATTGTCTCTCCTGATCGATTTTCCAGGTCAGTTGTTTTACCAATGAGGTATTTTATGTTTTCATCTATTTTTTCATTTTTTTGTTTCTGTTTGACTGATTCTTGCTCTCTCATAGAGTCATTAGTTTCCATTTGTCCAATTCTATTTTTAACAATTGTTTTCTTCTATTAGTTTTTGTACTCCTTCCCATTGGCCAAATTTTTTAGGGACTTGTTTTCTTCAGTGTACTTTTTTTCCCATTGACCAATTGTATTTTTTAAGGACTCTTCTACCTCTCTCATTTTATTTTTAAAATCCTTCTTGAGCTCTTCTAAGAAGGCTTTTTGGGCTTCAGACCAGTTCATATTCCCTTTTGAGGTTCCAGATGTGGGTTTGTTGACAATGTTGTCTTCTTCAGAATTTCTGCCTTTATCTACACTGTTCTCATTATATGAATCTATGGTATGTTTCTTTTTGCTTATTTCCTGGCCTTTAAAGAGATTGAGCTGTCCTGCTGGGGAGCAGAGGGCACTGACCCAAGCTTCTTGTGTTGGGTTCCTAGGGCCTGGTCCCTGGCTTTGTGTGCTGGGGCCTCTGATGTTGGCAACTGGAGACTTTAGGGTTCTAGCAGTTGGGCTGGAATCAGTAACACTGGAACTCTAGGGGTAGAATTGGGTAGTCTGGCCCCTGCAAGTTGCCTGCTTTTCCTTTCCTTTCACTTTCTTCAGCTCCTTTCAGATGGATATTGCAGGATGTTTATCCACTTGGGGCCCCTTGGAGTGCCTCACACAGTTTTGCTGAGGCACTGGGAGACTGCTGTAGAATGCTCAGGCACCTGGTGGTTTTCTGAGCTCACTAAGCTCTTAATAAATGTTTATTAAGTAATTTATTTTTATGAAATTTCATACTGTGGCCTGTGAACCTTCTTTGCCTTTACCCAATCTTCTCTCTCTCTCTGGTTAGTCTACAATAAGTAAAATTACTCTAGGTAGAATTATAGCGTTAGACACACAGAGTCTTTTTGGCTGTGCACCTGGGGTTAACCCTTCTTGGCTCTTCATCTTAGAAATGACTTGCCCCCAGATACACCAAAAGGGAGTAACACAGCAGAGATCCCAGACACTGTGATTTGGCAGGGAAGGTAGATCAGAATTGGATCTGGAGGGGCTTGGAGATAAACCTGGTTTCAAACCTAGATTTTTTCCATGTTGCTTTGTAAGTGAAAGTTCTCTCCTAGACTATGTAATTAATTTTCTTGTCCTGACTCCCTGTCGTCATTCTATTGGCTTCAACTACTTAGTTGTTCTTAGCTGACTACAAATAGCCTAGGAGAGGGGTTGGGAACCTTTGGCCTCGAGGACACATGTGGCCCTCTAAGTCCTCAAGTGTGGTCCTTTGACTGAATCCAAACTTCATAAAAACAATTCTCAATTGTTTCCACGTATGGCCTTGAGGCCACAGTTTCCTCACCCCTAGGACATCTCTCCAGATGAGTCCCTGGAAATCAAAGTTAAATGAAATTCTCTGTCTGTTTATTGGTCTCTGTCTGCCTTTGGGTGTCTATCTCTCTGCCTGTTTCTCTCTTTGTTACTGTCTGTTTTTCATAAATAAAACATTAATGGAACATTATTCCTACCATTGAATCAGGAACTGATAGAAAAAAATGGAGACACTTTGATTTCCCTTTGCATCCTTAGGATTAATACTTAGAATCAAAAGAACCATGTTCTTCTAGCTCTTGCCTTACCACTAACTTGTGAAAACATAAGCAAGTAGCTTTACCTATCTGAACCTCAGTGTCTTTGTCTTCATTTGTAAAATAGTGATAATAAGACCCAAACTACCTGCCTTTTACAGTTAAGAAAGCATTGTGTAAAATCATTACTTTTTAAATTAAATTTTATTTTTTAATGAACATAAATCTATTCACTCTCCCTTATACCCTCCATTCTATTGGGGGGGGAGATAAAAAAAAAAAAGAAATTCCTCCTAACAAATATGCATAGCAAAGAAAAATAAATTCCTTTTTAAAAAAATGTGTTTTGGGGGCAGCTAGGTGGTGCAGTGGATAGAGCATCAGCCCTGGAGTCAGGAGGACCTGAGTTCAAATCCGGCCTCGGACACATAACATTCACTAGCTGTGTGACTCTGGGCAAGTCACTTAACCCCAATTGCTTTCACCAAAAAAAAAAAAGTTTTGTTTTTAGGTAAGTGTTTCATTTTGCACTTAAGTCCATCACTTCTCTGTTGGGAGGAGGATATGATACTTCATTATCAGTACTTTGGAGTCATGATTAGTCATTGTTTTGATCAGTGTTCTAAGAGCTTTCAAAGTGATTTGTCTATAATGTCACTATCATGTAATTTGTTCTCCTGACTCTCATTTCATTCTTTATGTATTTATTCAAGTCTTCAAAATTGATCTTTTCTTCACAAAGTGTTGCTGCTGCTACTATAGAATCATAGATTTTGAACTGGGAGGCGCCTTAAAGGTCATTGAGTCTAATCTTCTCATTTGACAGATGAAGAAACTGAGGCATGGGGTGGTTAAATAACTTTCTCAAGATCACAATCTGACATGAGAAGTAGAATTTGAATGCAGGTCTTTCCAATTCCAATTCCAGTGCTCCATCTACTGCGCTCTGCTGCCACTAGTTCTACTGCTCATGTCACCATCATCCTTTACACATATCCTATACTCAAGCCAAATAAATCTATTTGCCATTCCCAGAACTTGGCCTGCTATTTCCACTTAATTTTCTTTACTCATATATCATTGTACTTCCTTTCAATATCCTGCTTTGTCATCTTCATCTAGGCTACCAACCCTTCAGGTTCCAACTCAAATGTCCCCTCTGAGAGCATAGTATATAGCTAGCTTTGGAGTGTTAGAAGACATGGGCTCAAATGCCACTTCTCTCTCTCTCTCACACACACACACACACACACACAAACACACACATGCACACGCACACGCACACAAACTCACGCACACACATATGCACACACACACACATGCACTGGTTGTATGATACTGGGCAAGGGATTTGACCTCTTAGCGCAAAGTCTAACTTAAAGATAAGATGTCTACCTGAATTGATTGAGAGACTTTCTCTTTTGAGAATTCTTTATATAATGACAAAAAAAGAAAGAGAAAGAAAGAGAGAAAGAAAGAGAAAGAAAGAAAGAGAGAGAGAGAGAAAAGAGAGAGAAAAAGAGGGAAAGAAAGAAAAAAGAGGGAAAGAAAAAGAAAGAGAGAGAAAGAAAGAGAGAAAGAGAAAGCAAGCAAGCAAGCAATATATGCTTTAGAATCCATAAACTCTCTCAGGATTCATCATAACTCTCTTTCTCTGTCTCTGTTTCTCTATCTCTCTGTCTCTGTCTCTCTCTCTCTGTCTCTCTCTCTCTCTCTCTGTCTCTGTCTCTGTCTCTGTCTCTGTCTCTCTCTCTGAGAAGACTCGTTAATGGAGCATTCTATCTACCCATAGACTGATAAGAAAGGAGATGGAGACAGTTTGGTCTACCTTTGCATCCTTAGGATTAGCATTTAGAATCAAAAGAACTGTGTTCTAATCTCTGCCTTACCACTAACTTGTGAGACCCCCCTTCCCTACCTAGTGTGACATCCTGTACATTATCAGTAATTATTCAATCATACATATGAGGATTCAGAACTAGGATGTCATGTTTAGTGAGAAACACAATGGCTGGAAGATCAGGAGACCTAGATTCAAATCCCAGCTGTGATACTGCCTTTGTGATCATGGATAAGATACTTAACCTACCTGAATCTCAGTTTCCTCATTGATAAAATGAGAGGGTTCAAGTAGATGGCCTTTAGAGTCCTTTTCAGCCCTCTGTGATCTGGTTTGTTCTACTTTTTCATTTGACAGATGAGGAATTTGAAGCTCACAGAGGTGAAGTTTTGTGCCCAAGGTTGCATGCGCGCACACACACACACACAAACACACACACACACACACACACACACACACACATACAATAAGTGGCAGAGCTGTGATTCATATTTGTGGATTGGGTTTTAGAATTTCTCTCCCCATCCAATGCTCTTTCTACTACATCAATATTTATCAACAGCCTAAGATTTGTAAAAGGAGAGTGAAGACTTTGGCCGAATGCATCATGCCTATGTTAGGACATTACATTTCATCAGTCAGACTAGTTCCATTTTGGAGTCTTTTGTTTTTGTGAAATTCTTGTGTGTCCCGTCCCCCCCCCAATTACCTTAAGCAGCTTTCATAAAGAAAAATAGCTTTTTAATACTAGGTAGGTTTTTTTCAGAGGGAAACGTACAGGTTCTTGTTTATTAACAGGATTAGCCTAGGACCCTAGCCACCATCACTCTGTGTCGGGAAAAAGCTTATTTGAGTGTACATTATTCAAGTCTCATCATGGGAGCAAAATTCTTATTATGCAACATTTAAAAGTAATAATTTCTGGAGACTTAACCTCATGGATTTTCTAACACAATAAAATTAAATAAAAAAATCCAAATGCAGCTGATATAGCCCCTTCATGTGCAATTAGCAAATATTAAATAGAAACTTTAATATTAACATTATTCTTTATGCCCCAGTGAGTGGGATATTATTTAAATTGATATGACATAAGAGGATATAAATAATTCCTAAGTGTAGATCTAAACTCAAATTTCAGTCAGTGTTTGAAATCACTAAGTATTATCAATTCCCTATTTCCCAGCATATCATTTATTACCAGCCTGATGAATTTTTTTTCAAAGAGATTAAATTAGCATTAGGGCGATGATAAACATTATAAATAAATACGAAAATCGCTATTCTGAAAATCCAGTGGAACAGAAAGTAAATGAATCGGGGTTGTATCAAATTCCATCTTCCCTCGAAGAGCTCAGAAACAGTTTCAAGCATAAGTAATCCTCCACAACTTCTTCTGCAATCAAAAATGAAATATATTAAAACCGGAAAGTATAATTTCATTATCTACTATTCTAGATACGCAAACTAAGGTTCAGAAATAGCTGTGGCATGAGGCGAATTCTGATTAACCTCACACAATTAACTGGCCAAAGAAGGATGGAAGCTCCTGTTACAGAAGTGTTTGGGACTTATGGGGACTTATGTCCTCTTTGGGCCTCTGGTTCATCTCTCAAAGCAATCAACCTGAAGTTCAGTGCTGAGGGGCCCCACATCATCCCAGACTTCTTTCTTGTCGGTTATGTGATCTGAGTAGGATGCAGTCCAGGAAAGGCTGCAACAGAAAGGAATCAGCTTTTGAAATATGACATTCTTTGCACGGTTCTGACCTAGAGTGACATATCATTATCAATCAATCAATAAGCATCTATTAAGCATAAACTGTGGGCCAGGCACTACGCTAGGCACTAGGGATACATATAAAGAAAGAAATAATCCTTACTTACAAGAAGCTTAATTTCCAAGACGCAAGTGTATAGGAACCAAAGAGGAAGAAGAGGCAGATGGGGGTTTGCTTCACTTTGCTCTTTTAAGAAACCTGAGGGACAGCTAAGTGGCGCAGTGCATAGAGCTCTGGCCTTGGAGTCAGGAGGACCTGAGCTCAAATCCAGCCTCAGACACTTAACATTTACTAGCTGTGTGACCCTGGGCAAGTTACTTAACCCCGATTGCCTCACCAAAAATAAATAAATACTTAAAAAAAAAAAGAAAGAAAGAAACCTGAAAGATCTCTATGAAGAGGCAAAACAGAGGGATAATCAAACTGAACTCCATTTTGTTACATGCATGTAGGAAAACAATGTTTTCCCCTATTTTTATATGGGATATTGGCAACAAGAGAAAATGAAATGGTATACCATTGAAACAGGGACTGCTTCATGTGCAGACAGAATGGATCACCTACATGGAGTGATGTGAAGGCTACCCCAAATCTCATTTGTCTTCAAATACCTCCTTCACACAAGTGCCAAACGAAATACTCTCTCTCTCTCTCTCTCTCTCTCTCTCTCTCTCTCTCTCTCTCTCTCTCTCTCTTAAACTCCCATTACAACTTCATTGTTTCATCTTCTTAAAGCTGCCACTTATTATCTTTGTGAACCTGGACCTTTTAAGTGACAAGTTCCTCATCAGTAAAAGCAGGGTGAGGTACTAGATGATCTACAAGGTCCCTTAAATTTCTAAATGTATCATGATGTAGTAGCAGCGTATACTGGAGTATGCCTCATAACCTGTATTTGAATTCAGAGGTTGGATCCCCTGGGTGACTTGTCTCAGCAACCCAGGGGTATGTGTGGCTACTCCTAGTATCATAGTTCACAATGTCCCATCTGAATGCTTCCCAACAACAATTAGCCAGTGATTTAATTAACTTTTTAGGGGTGGAAACTTTTATTAAGATGGTATGGTAAGGACAGTTGGCACAAAATATTTCTCCAAAAATCCTAGGTCACACTCTTCCACAAATATGTACAGTGCCAATGGTAAGAATGGGCTCGAACATAACCATAGTGAGGCATATGTGTAGAAGCCTGTGTAGGAAAGAATATCTAACAACTTACATTGAAAGTCCTCTTTTGAGCCCAAAGTTAGCATTCCTCTCCGCCATGAGGGATCATGTTCTTTGAGGCTGACTCCTCCCTAATTGTCTCTTGCATCTGTGTGTATCCTCTGTCTGCTTCTATGCTCCCATATGGATGTATTGTCTCCTAATAGGCTAAACAGGGGTGGGGAACCTGTGGCTTAGAGGACACAGGAGGCTTTCTTGGTCCTTGGGTGTAGCCTTTTGACTGAGTCCAAGTTTTACAGAACAAATACTTTGATTAAGGAGATTTGTTCTGTGAAGTTTATATTCAGTCAAAGGGCCGCACTTGAGGACCTAGAAGGCTGCAGTTTCCCTACCCCTGGAAAAGCTCTGATGACACAGATGATATGGCAGAAATATGGCAGATATGGCACCACACTACAATCCCTTTGCTAGCTTCTGTTTCAGGTGAATCGATCTGCCCCCACAAAGCCTCCAGAAATTGGAATGTCAATTGCTGAATGGCTTACTGTGTTTCTTATAAAGGCCCAAGGGCCTAACTAGTTTAGCCAATCAAAAAGATTTTCCTGTGTGGTTTCAGTGACTTTCATACCATGGCCAAAGCCTTATAATCCTCTCAAGTTGATTAAGGATTTATTCATACACTGTGGTGGCATTGTCAGAAAATTCTTTAATTCCTACCTTTTACTTTGTGATTAGATTTTGGGCCTTCTGTGATTATATTAACTGAGGCATGTATGTGTGTGGGTGGAACCTCCTACCTTTCTTGATGATTCTCTTTTCAAATCTAAATATCTTTGGTAAGGAACAGGATCATGGAACTGCTTCCTTCACGTGAATGAGTTTATTAGATCTAATTCTTTTCTTCCTCTATTCTGTTTTTGTGTGTGAAATTCCATGGTTGGGCCTTCGTTCCTTTTGATTTATCATTGTCCTTCACTCTTTTAATATACACTCTTTGCCTCAAAGACAAGAAAACCCCATTCATCCTATCTGGGTGAGTTTATTAGATAACTTTTTTTGTGTTTAATGGGATCTTAAGCATTCTGAGTTCATTGATTTGAATGATATGGGTATGGTATGAGAATGGAGTGGACAGTGAAAGAGTGGGAAGGGAGAGACTGTGGTCAGAGCCAAGGGAGATTATTGAAGGCAGTTTCCTAATTTCACAATTTTATCTAAGGATCACTTTGAATTTTAGGATTGGAAAACTTCCTGTTTTTTCTTTCACTTAGCATACATGTTGGAATGCTATCATAGACGTTGGTCCTCCCATTTAACCAGGGAAATAAAGCCAGAGCATTTCAGTATGTGGTTAAGAATATGTCGTAGGCATAAACACAGCTTAAGGCATTACAAATTTTGCTGAAGAAAATGAATTTATTCATACTTCTCTAAGTCAGGATGGTTGAAATAAGTTATTTCAAAAAAACATTTTGGGAGAAATCCCCTTTGGGATGAACAGAGTATGCAAAACATTTCCTTAAAAATAAAACTTTTGTAGGAAGTTAGGGGACAGTTGAAAATGATACAGTACTGTTTATGATTATGATTGTCAAAGCATTTTCTGAGCCTTCTAGATGGAAAGGGGGAATATACAGCAAATGGGTGATATTATCCTAATTATTATTATATAGAGTAGCACAACTCGATCTATTTCTGTGGAAATAATAGAGCTAAGACGAGATTCGGCAACATCTGTCACAATAAATGCAAATATATAGAGAATTGACAATGAGCCATGATCTCATAAGTGATTCTCTTTTCCATATGAATAATGAAAAGGCTACATTTCAAACTCATGTGACATTTTAGGAGACTTTCCGGAGCCCACACTTGAATCCCCTCCCCATTGAAACAAAGGGGTTTCAGCTAGGGTGAAATTCATTAGGATTTAGTCCTTTTTTTTTTTTATAGCTCTTTGCATTTCCGGAGAATTTTCTGTCACCTCTTAGCTAAACCCTCAAAACCTCCAATCCCACAAGCACTTATTCAGTGATAAACCTGATGTTGGGTACTCTATGTGATGCAAGAGAAAAATATATGGTGGCCGTGTTATAGTCCAGTTTGAGAGAAAAGACTATAGCACATTATGAAATCAGATAATGAAATAAGACGGGGTAAAACGAAGTCTTGAGAGTGTGAGATAGTATAGGATGCAATTAAAGGCCCAAGGATGGAGATTGTTATGGTCTGGGGTCATCAGGGACATCTTCCTAGATCGCCAAGATTTGAATAAGCAAAGAGAAAAGAGAAAATATCCATGTGAAGGGCAATACTAGAACCTGCATGAGTTAGATACTACACTCTCTTAGAGAGGTCCATGGGTCCATGGGAACAAGGAGGGTGGTTTTTCATGCACCCCCTTATTTGTCTCCCAACACACTTCAACCCAAATGTATTGCCAGAGTCATACTATTCTATATCCTTATTCATATTTTAAAGGCCCTAGTCCCCATTTTCTTGCCTATTTTATGACTAGTGAGTGGGAGGTGTGAGTAGGGCTGGTTTTATCTGTAACGGATATAATTATGTGTATTTATGACAATGTTTGGTATAGAATTGAAGAGAATGAACAAAGGGGACCCACATCTGCCTAGTAACTTTTCCTACCTTATAAAATGCAAAAAGATTTGAAACAAGGGTAAAACATTTTCTTCAATAGCCTCCTGCGCATTGTCCAGGCATTCATCTTGAGCAAGAAGACTAGATAATTACTGGTTTGTTCTCCTAGAAAAGACAATGTTGAGAGAGTAATGACTTAGTAGTGATAGCTAAAGCTATGCAATGGAGATAAGAAAAGAACACTTTCCAGGTAGAGGCATTATGGAGCAGTGCTGAGAGAACTAGGGTGAGCAAGGTCTGGGTTCTAGTCTAACCTCTGACAAACACTGACTATGGGACTTTGGATAATGCACTTCCAGCATCCCAGGCAACCTTCCCCAATCATAAGTTTCAGGTACATACGTGCAAATATGAAAGTACCATGGGCAATGTCCTGTATTAATCAGTGGTGTAACGGAAACTACCTTAACTGAAGGTAGAGAGGCCTAGTCCCAGCCCTGCCACTATCTTGCTGCCACTATCTTCTCACTACAATGAAAAGAATGCCATTTCACTCCTCTGTGGCCTCAGTTTCTTTATCTGTAGAATGAGAATAGTGGAAACACTTTCTTTACAAGACTGCAGTCAAGATCAAGTGAGATAATGTGGAAGTATATGAAAATGTACTAAATTCTCTATGTTAGGGCAAGAGGTATTTTTTTTAAATTAAGGTGATCAGAGAAGACATAAATTTTGATACTTTTAAACAATAATCACTGCATGAGGGAGGGTACCTGGATTACTAAAAGATGTTATACAGCTCAGTGAAAGACCTTTCTGGGGTCCCTCAAAAGTTGCACAAACATTTTGGTGAGAAGACTCTGCTAGAATCCTGCAGTACAACCTGCATCTTAGGAATAAAACAATAACACATTTATATAGTACTTTAAAGTTTGCTGTGTGCCCTTCATAACAATCCCATGAAGCAGATTATGTAAGCTTTGTTATGCCCATTTTACAAATGAGAAAACTGAGTCTCAGAGAATTGAAATGATTTTTCTAGTGTCACATAGTCATTAGATGATCAGAACAGAGACTCAAACCCAGGAGACCTGAGGTCACTTCTAACACTCTTCTGGGTAAATCAACCTTCTTTTCTCTGTGTCCTGAGGCTGGGTTGTTGCTTTCAAAATTGGATTCAGAGCAAAAGCAGCTTAAAGTCACACACTGACTAAATAAATCAATAACCAACCCCATCCACATTTGCCTACTACAGCTGATCTCTGTCCCTACCATGAAGCCTGCCACCAGGAATGCTGAATCAGATAGAAAGTGGTAGTAGTTTGAGGGCCAGAATTGGGGGGGGCAGGAGCTATCTGTTTATACCCTTCCACTCCTAGTCTCATTTCACATCCCACCCCAACAGCTGCCAGGCAGTAATGTAATAACCTTCAGTCAGGAGGTGTTGGGAATCTGTCAGAGGCCAATTAGGGTTGGCTAAAGGCCCCTCTTTCCTTTTGGAAAGCTTCCATTGAGTCATCAGCATGACTGAACTCATCATTTAAGTCTAACATGGGGTGGAAGAAGGGCATTCCCCAGATGGGCATGATTACCCCAAAGCTATCAGGCCTTCTCCATCGGCCCTGGGCCTGATACACCAAAGGAGTTTTGAGGTGAAGAGCAAAGACTGCCTTCTCTTTAAGTTGAATTCAACCAGGATTTGTCGAGCACCAGATACATGTCCGGTCTTGTAGTTCTAAGGTGCTGTAGGGGGAGGGGAAGGACACAGGAAAAGAGAAGAGCTCACAGACTTGTTAGAAGTCAAGACGCACACACATGAAACAAACAGAAAACAAGATTACTCAGCCATGTCAGCGTCCAACATTTAATAGGCTATGAATGGGAACTTGAGAAGAGGGGGAGATCTCTTGAGCTGGTGGCATCAGGAAAAGCTACAGGGAAGAAGTGAGATTTGAACTGGCCCTGGAGAAACGGTGTGATGTGAATAGGTGGAAAGGAGAGAGGGGGGATGGCCTACTTATCCATTGTCAGAGAAGTGAAAGCAACTCAAAAGACAAGTCTAGACCTGGGGTCAGAGCCAGGCATATACATCTGAGTACTCAGGACCAGAAATGAAAATTGCACATTCCAAGTCTGTTACTGTCAACCTAAGGCCATGAACCTTCACTGTAGCATATGTATGTGGCTTGGCACTACAAAATAGAAATCTGTGTCCTGTGAAGAATGGACATTTTTGGCATTAGGTAAATATACATTTTTAAACAGGAATATTAAAAAGTATTACTTGTCCTCTGCTTCTTCCCTCCCACCGGATATGCCTTATGATGCAGCCTGTGTGGTATATCTCCAATCTAAGGTTGGCTTAGATCTCTATCCAATCCTCTCTCCATATCTCAGACTGCATGGATCAGACTTCTCTATAAATCTCATTTGCCATGAATTAGAAAATGATCGTTCTATTTAGGCATGAATTTTGTTAGTTCTTTATCCAAATGAGAAATATTTGTAAAGTACTTGGAATAGTACTGGCAAACCGTAGGTGCTACATAAATTCTTTTCCCCTTCTTCTTCCCTATCCCCATTCCCCCCCCCCATCCCACATTGTGTTGTGTCCATTTATTTATTTGTTTATTTTTAATTTATGGAGTCAAGATAGGTTCCAGTCTGTACGAGACAAAGAAACTATTTGTGCGGTTGGGATCCTTGTGGATAAGCAGACCATCATATCTTCACAGTCTAGCAGTTCCCAAGGGAAAAGGACATTGCTTGCACTATCTTACTTATTCATGATTTCTCCTCCTCTTTGGGCTTGGGTTTTGGGAAGGGTTAGTGTTTTCCCTAAGCCTACCACTCTTTTTCCACTGCCACATTCCTTTCTTTGTTAAAATCTCCTAAATATGCACTCTTCTGTTTGGGTTGTGAACTCTTTGTACTTTCATAGGGTTCCATGCATGTTCATTTCTCTTGTAAGAAACTCAGTTTTTCACATACGTTGCGTGAAGTTGTGATTTTCTGTTGACATTCATAATAATAGCTAAGCATCTTCCCCAGCCAATTCAGAAAACATTTAATAGTGCCCTCTAATCAGAAAAATAATAAGAAATTATGATATATAAGGTGGTGACAAGAAATGACAATGGTGAAGAGTATAACCCAAACATAGGTGAAGTCAGGTTAGGTCTGAGCAGCATGACTTGGTTTTCCTATTTGTTGGGATGGGAAGGGCTGGAAGCAGGACTTGGGAAAGGGAGAGTAATAGGACCTTGCAGGTGGCTACCTATGGCTACTTGAAAAGTCATGCAGGTTAGCAGAGGAATATAAACTGAGGTGTGGAGCTGGTGCTCACTGTGGAGATGAAACATGCCCTTCCCAGACATGTCACTTAGTACTAAAGACCTGTTCCCCATGTGATAGTTATGGCTCTGACTTCAATGTTTTATAGAAAAGGTACAACTAATATGGCATTGTGATTTCAGGCAGTGATAGGCAGAGAGAGAGGCAGGGAAAGGGCCTTAAATTCTTATGGCCAGAATTTGGGTATAAGTCAGTTCCTAACATGAGTGGACCATCTGTTTGTTCTACCTACATAGGAGTGAGTCATGATATATTTTCTCCATCAGGCTATCCTTTGCATTATCCCACATTTTAGCTTTCAGGCTGGCCCACAGTAGACTTTTTTATTTTCCTCAAACGTCTCTATTTTTCTTTCATCATCCCCTGAGCTTGCATGATCCACTGATATGAGCACTCTCTCCAGAATGAGAGGACCTGGGTTCAAATCTTACCTCAGACAATGACTACATGTGTGAGCTTGGGCAAATTACATCACCCCTTTGGCTCTCAGTTTCCTTATCTATTAAAACCAGAGGTTTGGATTACATGATCTTTGAGTTCTCTTTCAATTCTAGATTTGTGATCCTAGAAACCTTATTAAAATTGAAGTGTGGGAATTAGATACTGCAAAGCAAAACATTATCATCCTTTGAGCTACTGAAATCATAAAAGATCAGCTAAGCTACTGAGCCTCTTGGATTAGAATAATGTGAACAATGGACTATCCCATTATAGATCACAAGAAATTGGAATTGGCCTTCTCAATTTTCTTATCTTTAAAATGAGATATGTGCGAAGGACCTAGCCTCAGGTTTAAGATCTCAGCAAAACTGCGTCAGCTGGGGGAGGCAGCTAGGTGGCACAGTGGATAGAGCCGTGGCACAGTGGATAGAGCCGTGGCCCTGGAGTCAGGAGGACCTGAATTCAAATTCATCCTCAGACATTTGACACTTACTAGCTGTGCAACCTTGGGCAAGTCACTTAACCCCATTGCCTACCAAAAACAAAATAAAACAAAAAGCAAACAAACAAACAAAAAACCCCCCAAAAAACCTTCATCAGCTACCCAGTGATTCCAGCTGTCTCTTGGAACCAACCCTTTGTCTTTGGCTTTCATCTTACACTGTTTTTTAAACTTTCTTTGAAGACTGAATTTCACTTCTACCACCAGGCACTGAGCTTTCTGACTTTCCTTGGTCCCTGAACCTTCTTGGCTGCCTGGGCTCAAAGATGGCATCTATTTTCTCCCTAATTACCCCCACCCTTTTTTCCTATTATTAGTACTGTAATTGGCTGCCCTAGCCTAATATTTCTTCCACTCTCATTCTCACCTTTGTCTGTTACATACTTACACCTTAGGTTGTAGGAATTCTGGGGATTATTTACAAGGGAAAAAGTGAAGAGAATCTAAAAATTCAGAAACAATACACAAAGGTAAGGTAAATTGAAGTGTAAAGAAGTGAAAATAATCTAATCTGAGACTGGAGAATTTATGCTTCCTTTACTGTTCTACCTAGCTATCGTTACCCAGTTCTAGCTTGGCTCCTGACCCTATTCAGTCTGGAAATTCTCATGTGACCTCATTTGACTCTCACATGATCACCAAATAGGATTTTATCTGTCACCACAGTACACAAATCAAATTGAGATTGACCTTCTTGGGCACACTTCTGGGAGCTTTTTGGACCATTCTGTAATCCCAATATCACTTTCAGCCAATCAGGATGCTTTCTGATGTCTGTAAGACTTTTGGCATTCCATCCATTTTACTATATAATTACATAGCTTTAGTCCAAAGGGGATGAGGCATAAAAAGAATC